GGGTTATTCATGTAAGAAGCTACCCTTTCAAATGCAGACTACTTAATGCTTCCTTCTTCATTAACTTACATGTCCTCTTCTGCTGCTCTATGCTTTCATTTGTGCTATGTAAATAGCTTCTTTCTCTCAGTCATCCAAACAAATAATGCTCTTTGCAACCAAGGAGGAAATTAGTAGCAGGTGAACGCTTATTTTTTAAATTATGTTGAGACCAAGCTGTTCTTTAACTTAAAGGAGATCTGGAAAAAAAAAAATCCCATTTTACTACTTAGCCATCTTAATTATGGGTTGTCATTGTCATAATTCAACATACTTATTCCCCCCCCCAATATTAATCTTGATGGTTAATCTACTTTATGATGAGCTGGACCTAACACAGTGCACATACATATTTAGTGGGGCAAGACATCTTGGATGATGTAAAATTAGCTATATCTAATCATACATGAAGCATGCAAGGAATTTCTGACTTAGGTGTTCTATTTCTTTGCTCTCCATATCTGTTCTACATAAAGATAAGGTATTTTCTTGTGCTATGGTGTGCTAACTGTAAAAAATAACCACAACTCTTCTTCTACCTGCTTATATGCTTCTACAGGTCAGAGAGGCTGCAATTACAAGAGATGGCATACACTAGTCCTTGAATGGGACCACAGTAGAGGCATTTATAACATGGTCCACATCATAATCTATGAATTTACAAATCCTATTTGACTTATTTAAGGACATGGGCAGCCAACGAAACTCAGTACAGGTAAAAGTCTCTTCATCAGTGATGGCACGCACAAAAACATCTGCAAATATTAAATGGCCTCCAAACAATCACTAAATTGAAATTACACAGTGCTAGAGCTGTAAGAGACACACAGAGGGACAGACAATAACTACGTACTGATGCTAGGGATACTCTGGTTACTGCAAGACCATGCAAGGAGAATATCAGCATAATCTTTCTCTTATGAAATCGCATTATCAATGCAAGCTGTATGACTGCCAAAATGCAAGGTAAAATCCCAGCAACCAATTTTAGTAGTATTTTATTTATAATTCCAGATAACTTCAGTATCAAGCAGGGGCTGAAGCTGACTGTCGGCAATTTCAGTAGCCATAATATCAATTGAAAGTGCAGTCAAACAATAAACACAGACATATACTTAAAATGCAAGGAGACATACATCATATGAGTCCAATCTGGAGTTTAAGCTAGAATCCAAATCTCCGTAACTCCTGGGCGGGGGGGGAGGAAAAAAAATCAACCTTGAACTGGAATGGTATGTCTGCAACAACTGAACTGTTGTTACAAAATTGTTCTCAATCATAATTCAAACTTGCCACATGGATTAATCGGCAGTTAGAAGCAGCTGCAACACCATGTTCTGTGCACTTCTGTTGCCATTTTAATTTTTAAAAAGCAAATGGAGAGGCTCTCCACAAAATTCAATGCCGCAATAGCAATGACTGAACTAAAATAACAAAATTATGAACAGTTCACTAAATTGTCTATTAGGAGCACATATCAAGAGGCTGCAGAACAAATTGTGTGCCTGAAATAACAGATCAATGAATGAAGAATAAAGAGATGTAAGAAGTGGAGATGTTGACGAACCATTGTAATTTGTGAAGAATCAATTTCCATACAGCCAGAGTAATGGCAGATCACAGACAGTGTATTCTAACAGTAAAAAGTCATGGATTACCAAATGGACATTTATTAATGCTCCAAGAAAAAGAGAATGGTGCTGTAACACCAGGCCAGGAAGTACACCCACTTCAAAATTAGTAAAGTGCAATAAAAGCAACCCACAATATATACGTACAGTAAAAAAAGTTGCCTTGGGCAGGCTGGGTAAATCCTTTAAAAATCAGAAAACCAGCATACAATCACTGACCTAACAATGGAAACACTGAATACATAAAACACTTTTGTCCGATGATACAAATCTAGCTACTTTATCATCTTACTGTATGTCCAGCTACATAAATGTTCAGTCTCAAATACACATTAGAGAACTCCTAAAGCCAAAGGATGATGTTTCAAAGCAAAGGCCTAAGGCCAGATTGTACTACATCACCTTACGAACTATATGAGCTGCTGCTTCTTAAGCTATCACAGTTTGCTGAACACATCTTACCCTAGACTACAAAATGGCTAATCAGAGAGTAATATACTGTTTCTGTACTATTCAACATCTACATCAGTGACCCACCAATCTTGGCACGACCAAGGGTCTTGCTGGTGAGTGTCCCCTGTGTCCTCAGGTAACTATACAAATACTCATTGTGCCAAAAACAGACAATGGAGCATTTATGAATTTGAGGCTTGTTGGAAGAACTGTGTAGTAACAAGCACCTAGCAGACAACAGACTGAAGCACAGATTAATGTCTTTTTTCTCTAAAAATACAAAAGAAATAGACAACTTAGAACAATTTACCCTGTCAGATTCCTGACCAGAAACCTGCCTTGCCTTTTACCTACCAATATAAACAAACTGCATTTTCAAAAATCACTCAAACCTGAATACGGAGAACGACTGTAACTAAGGCAAAATGCAAGAGGCAGATCACAGACGTAAGGCATCCATTGCATGAACAGATCCCACCTCCTGCTTAACCAAAAGTTGCAAAAAGTCGTTCATACTGCTATTGAACGTTGAAACTGTGGCAGTCACTATTCAGATGAGGAATTTGATCATGTTGCCAAACAATGGCAACATGAAGGTGCGGTGGCACAGGAGCCCACATGCAGACATACTAATCTTTGCAGTTGTGTCTTGTCTCATTTATTTGGAAAACAGGGATATTTGAACAATACAGGCACACACAGACCATAGAATAGGCGCCAACTGGTCTCCTGTTGGAAGAAATGTGTATCAAGTAACTTAGAAAATGCACCATATTGGGCAATAGCAAGTTCCCTGTTTTGGAAAACCATACAGTTGAGGTGAAGGGATGTGACAAGCAGCAGCACTAGCCCCCATCATCATCTCCCCTTGCCACAGTTCTTGCAGAAACGAGGAGGAGGTAAAAAGTAAGGTTCTTCAATCCTCAGGAACAAAGCTCTGGCAGGACAAAGCAGTGGCCAAGAGCTGGGCAGCTCCAGCACATCCAGCACAGAGCCCATGCTGCATGAAACAGAGGGCTGAGTGAGCACAGAACACCGGATCATGGCTCAGCAGAGATGAAGAACAGATGGCATGCTATTCCTCTTAGTCAAGACAGGCAGAGACTTGTGCTGCGCACTACCTTCTTCAGCCTGCATGCTCAGTGCCTGCAGAAGTTCTCTGAACCTATCCTGCCATACCTAGACAAGGCCACGTAATTAGCTATTTCTTCAGCTTCAACAAATACATTCTTGGCAGCACGAGAAACTATAGAACTATTTGGTGATAAATTTAGGCATATACTCATTTATCCAACCAACAAACTCAATCAAGATGCTTTATGCTATTTATTTTGCCACAGTGTAGGACTGGCTGTCATTTCAGACATTTCAGTTTTCTTTTTACTCTTCAACACACCAGCGTACTGGCTGAGGGTGTGCAAGAAGCTGGGACAGCTGGCCCCAAGTGACCAAAGGCATGTTCCAGACCATGTGACGTCATGCTCAGCATATAAAGCTGGGGGAAGAAGGAGGAAGAGGGGACATTTGGAGTTATCTTCTGATAAGGTGTTTGTCTTCCTTAGCCACCATTATGCATGAAGAAGCCCTGCCTTCCTGGAGATGGCTAAACACCTGCCTGCTGATGGGAAGCAGTGAATTAATTCCTTATTTTGCTTTGCTTGCACGCACAGCTTTTGCTTTACTTATTAAATTATTTCTGCCCACAAATTTTCTTTTACCCTTCTGATTCTCTGTCTCATCTCACCAGGAGGAGTGAGCGGGTGGCTGCAGGGAGTTGAACTGCCCACTGGGGTTAAACTGTGACAGCAAGAAAGTTTAAAAGACAAAACGTCTAAACATGCACAATCAAACATATCTCTGAGTAGTCTGAATTACTGTAACGGAAAGAGT